TGCAAATGTGCTACACCAATGTGAGGGTTTCTCTTGTTTTTTTAATTATTACTATTTACAGGTAGATGCATGGATCTATACAGGATCCATCCAAAATGCCATAACTTGCTGTGGGTTTTTTTTTAATGGATTAATATGTTTTAACCACCTAAGTTTTTTCCCAGCTTCTGAAAGCATTTTTTATTAAACTTCCTAAGACAATTGTATTTCTCACCACATGCAGCTGTAAGGAATGATATGGAGAGAGCCCATATACTCTTCCTCTATTTCCCCAATGGTAACATCTTGTGTAACTATAGTACAATATAACAACCAGGAAATTGACATTGATACAACCCACCTATCTTACTCAAATTTCACCCAGTGTTACATATACCAATTGTATGCATGTGAGTGTGCGCCTTCAGTTCTTTGCAGTTTTATCCTTTGTGTACACTTGTGTAATCACTACCACACCAATGTTTAGAACATTTCAAGCACCATAAGGATAACTTGTGCAGCGCTTTTATAAGCATACCCACCTTCCTTCCCCCACGCCCAACCCTGTCCCTAAGCCCTGGCAACCCCTAATGTGTTCTCTATCTCTATCATCTAGTCATTTCAAGAATGTTTTATAAGTGCAATCATACAGTATACACCTTTTTAGATTAGCTTTTTCACTCAACATAATTCCCAAGCTATCTATCCACATTTTTCCATGTATCAATAGCACCCTCCTTTTTTTGCCAAGTAATGTTCCATAGAATAAATATATCACAGTTTGTTTAACCATTCATCTGTTGAAGGATTTCTAGTTTTTGGCTAAGAATGTTAGTATACATCTTTCATGTGAAACTAACTTTTCATATCTCTGGGATAAATGCCTACAATCGTTAAGTCATATGGTAATATATATTTAGTTTTATAAGAAACAGCCAAATTGTTTCCCAGAGGGGCTGTACCATTTTACATACAAGATAAGTGGGAATTTGTAGGTATAGAAATTCTCCTAGCATCTGCCAATATCTGACCAACCCATTGCTATGGTAACTGAAATTCCTAATTTTGGGCTGGAGCATGTGGCTACCCAGAGTAAAGACACATTTTTCTGTCTTCCTTTGCAGCTAGGTATGATCATTTGACTAATTCTGGCTACTAGCATGTAAGTGGGGAGTTATGGGAAGGTTCTAAGAATGTTACATTGAAGAAACACAGAACGTACCCTCTTTTACTTGTTTCTCAGTTCCTCCTGCTACTATAAACCAGATGTGATATTTGCCATCTTGGACCATAAATACAAGAGCTGCATCGTAGGGATGTCATAGTGGTGAGCTAGAAGCACCTAATTCCTTGAGGACCTCCTCAAATCTACCAGCCCTACGCTGTCTTTTTCAGACTTTTATGTGAAAGTAAAATAAACTGTCTGGTTTAAGTTGTTCATTATATAGTCTCTGTTACTGACAGCTGGAGTGAATCCTAATATACCAGGTGCCCAAACATGCAGATAGTCACCCACGCAGGGCGCACCATTACCTCAGAATAGCTCGAGCGCACAGTGCTCATTGGCACGGAACTAGAAGAGAGGCAGGAACCAAAGACAGAGGCAGGGCCCAGTCGCGAAGAGTGTGGTGGACTAGGACTGCTCGGAGACAGGAACACAGGGGCCCCAGCCAGCCCGGAGATACTCACACGTCCAGGTGTGGCTGCCCCTAACCACCGGGAGGCGGCCTCGCTGTTGGCGCGGTGCTGGAGCCCCTCCCGGCGCTGCTGCCTCCCGCGCCCCGCTGCGCGGTCAGCCCTCCTGGCCTCACTGCTGCTGGGGCTGCTGACGCTGCGGCTCTGGGTCTCGAGGACGTTATGACGGATAGTTCAGAGCCGCCCGCCCTGCCGCCTTACCAGGTCCCTCCCACAGCCCTGCTTGCAGCCACAGTCTCATCACAGGGGTTGGAGAACTTGGTGTCTTCAGACTCTGGACCAAACTCCCCTCCTGCATCAGGGAGATCTCAAGACCAAACGGGATTTCAGACACCATTCCTCCCTCTCCAAATTTCCACAAAGCTCTTTCCCTCACCCTGAGAATCCCCAAAACACACACACACACACACACACACACACATACACACACACACACACACACACACACACACCACCCTCCCCACACGCCCCTGCATGAACCACACACCTGCACACAGTACACTTGGTGGCCCTGTGACAGCTGCAGGGGGTGGGATACGGTCAGATTCACACTGAAGAAATTCTTTCTGCTTGCTGCCGAGGAAATGGGTTGGAAGGCAGCAGGAAAGGAAGCAAATAAAATTGTGACATGGAAGCAAGAAATTCTGAGGGCCTGAACCCAAGCAGAGACTGAGGGGATGGATTTGAATATCTCCTCCCCCAAAGAGAAAGGGATACATTGCATAACACAAAAAAGTAAAATCAACAGTATTTGGTGACTCGTTGGCTGAAGAGATGAAGTACAGGAAGAGTATAGGATGACCACTGGGATGAGATGACTTAAGTTATTAATAAAAATGCTACTAGAAAGAGCCTCCAGGTACTGACCACCTACTCCATGCTACTCCTAAATCAAGGGCTTTACATCCTTGTTTCTTCTAATCCTCAGACTACACAGAGCGGGGCATTGTTTTAATCCACACTTTCCAAAGGAGGAAACTGAGGCCAAGAAAAGCTGAGTGCTTTGCTCAGAGTTTCCCACCTAGAAACTGGCAAGAGTATGCCGCAAGCTGCGTTTCTGACTCAGTCCAGATCTCTGATGAACAGCCCTAGGCTCCATCCCATCAGTTCAGCACTCAAACTCTATATTTTTCGGAAAAGGGACTGAAAGAAAATATACCAAAATGGTTACTTTTGAGTGGCAGAAGGATGCTTTATACACATCTATGTTTTTCTAGATTTTCTCCCTTGAGTGTGTATATTTATAACCTGAAGAAAGTAATAAATATTTCTATTTGAGTAATAAAATAATACTCTATGAGAAAGAAAGAATAGCCTGGGGAATGTAAATGTATGCATATTCTTTGTCAGGAAAGAGGAGACCGTCTTCAGTAATCAGGCCCAATTGCCACTAAAGTGAGAGTAGCCCTCACAATATTGCCAGAAGGCTTGTCAGATAGCATGCCCTGGGACTGGGGTGGGCCAGACCCTCCTTTCACCCAGCCATTTACCTTGAGAGTTTCTCATCCTCTCGCTGGTTCTGAGACCACTAGTTCACTAGTTTTCTTCCTTTTTAAAAAAATTTTATCAGTAATAATTTCAGGCACTGAAGCAAAAATCCCAGAATGCTCATCTTCAGCCAATACTTCATAACAGTCTGAATAAACAGCACTATGAATATTTATGTCTTGTTATCTTCGCTGCTGCAAGGAATGACAGTTTCAGCACAAGTGACGGGTATTCGTTTCCACCACTCAATCCTGATTATTTTGTCTTTGTTTCCTCCCACTCAGCAGCTCCACATACCCTGCCACAGACTTTCTTATGGTCCTGTTGCATAGGTGGAATGCGCCTCAAAGAAACTTTCAGTTTTCCTTTCCTATACGACCAGAGGACGAGGGAACTGTGCATCCATTCATTCGTCCATCAGCAGATATTCATTAAGGGCCTGCTGTACACCAGGCATTGTGCTAGGCACCAGGGTACGGAGATGAATAAGACATGCTGCTTGCCTGCAAGTCTAGGCGGAAGGTAGACCATAAACAGTCCGTTACACTACAGTGAGGTGGGTGCGGTAGCTGGCGTTAAGTCTTAGGCACCGTGGGAGACGCCATTCGCAGGGACAACATGAGCGAAGGCACCCCAGTGAAAGACGCGGCAGTCTGAGCAGAGCATGATGAGCAATTCAGTGTTGGCAGAGGGCGGGGAACGCGGGACAAGAAAAGCCTTGAAGTTGTCACTGAAGAGCTGCACTTGAGGGTGAGCCTGAGGGGTCAGAAATGAGGAAGATTATTGTAAGACTGGTAGTGCACCCCATGAAACAAATCACAGGGGCCCGAAGGGGAATCGCAGGGGTGGGTATGTAGACGAGGAAATAGATTCAGATACTATTTGAAGGATTAAATCAGAAGGATTTATTATCTGATTACAGGAAGACAGTTTGCATTTGGAGATTGGGATAGGAGTAACAGGGTGTGGAGAGGGGGAAGAAGGAACAGAAAGATTTGTAGGTTATTTTACTGACATTTCATCTCTTTAAAATTTGGAATCTTCCAGTCCAGGTTCCTACTGTCTCTTTTCAAATACTCAAGTCTTCTTCTCATCCCTCAATAATGTTTTGTCATTTTCTTCATAAGGAGCTATTTCTTTCTAGGTTATTTTTTGTTTTTTATTTAACGTGCTGCTGTCATAAATGGACTCTTTTTAACATCATATTTTCTCATTTGTTGCATTAGTTAAGATTCATTTGGTTGCAAATGACAGAAGAATCCAACCCAAGCTGGTATAAACAAATTAACAGTAGCATATATTGAATGCTTACTATTGCTAGATATTGATCTAAGCACTTTGTATGTATTAATCTTTTAACTCATTTAAATAAAAAGAGAAGATTTATTGGCTCACAGAAACAAAGAAAAAAATTAGTCATCTGCTGTCTTCAGATACAGATGGATCCAGCAACTCAATAAATACCACTGGGAGTGAGTTCGTCTCCATCTCTTGGTCCACAGTGTCAGTGACTGAGGCAGCTCCCTCGCCGGCAAGGAGTGGGTGGGGGAGCCTGCTTCACATTAACACCTGACAGTCAAGTCTGTTATTACCCCAGCCTGTAGGTGCCCATTACAGTTGCTGGAGGGAAGTGGCTCTTTGGTTGACAAAATGTGGGCATGTGCCCTTCTTTCAAAACTGCATATATAGGAGGAGAGGAATCATTTACCCCTAAAGAATCAGGGATCTTTGCAAGAACTAGAGGAAATGGACATGAGGGGAGGGTGGCAAAGAAACAACCAGTGTCCACTCTGTTAGTTACCACTCATTTGATTACTGTTATTCCTTTGGGTTAAAACTACACACACACACATACACACACACACACCTATTTTGTATACACATATATGTGCAACAACCAATCAGCTTGTATAGTTTCAAACGTTCCTTTAATTGAATGTTGTAGTAGATTGATTGTACCAGTAGCCCCAGTTTTTACACTTCCCTGAATCTGATCTCTCCACACTCCCCATCTTGTATAGTTTCAAACGTTCCTTTAATTGAATGTTGTAGTAGATTGATTGTACCAGTAGCCCCAGTTTTTACACTTCCCTGAATCTGATCTCTCCACACTCCCCATTGACTTTGGACTCAGACTTGTGACCTGTTTTTGTCAATGGGACAATGTCAAACTTGACACAAGCAGAAGCTTGACAAACTTGGAGTTTCCTCCTCCTCTCTTTGAACTTGGCTACTGCAGAAGAACAAGCTTGGGCTAGCCTGCTGAAGGACCAAAACCCATGTGGAGGAAAGTTAAGACATCCTAGCTAACACCATCCTAGACCCAACCAGCCCCAGCCGACCAGGCAGCTGACAGCAGACGCATGAGCAAACGCAGCCTGGATCAGCAAAACCATCCAGCCATGAACTCAAAAGAAATAAACAATCATTGTTATTTTAAGCTTAGTGGCTGTGTAGTGTTTTATGTGAAGCAATATCTGAAATAGACATTCTCCATTTGTGCCTCAAAATATGACACCAAAGTAAACAAAGCCCAAGATACTCACTGGCGGGCTGCTATTGGTAGTTGGGAAGACAGTGAGAAAGTGATGGACAAGTGACTGCAGCCTGAGCAGGCTGCAACGGTGGGCACACTGGCAGCCTGAGGTCTTGGAGAGCAGGGCCAGGAAGTGGTACAAGGCATAAGTAAGTTGCAAAAAAAGGTGGTTGGCAAGTCAAATCAATGTACCTACAAGTTTCCATTCATGCACTTATTAAAATACTGTTATGTGGTTACAATAGTCTAGGTCTTGAAGCAAAGATAAAGGAGATGAGCAGAGGAAATACACTCATTGACTGAGTAGGGCATAAGGACCCCCATGATAGGATGAAGTGTACACTGGCGAGGTGCAGGAGCTGAGTGAGGTAGAAACTGGAGAAAGGAGCCAGTGCTGGACTGTGGGAAAATTGGAGAGAAACTGAACCAGGCTTTCCCATGAAATAGGAAGAATATAATCCCTGGAAATTTGGAAGTTCATGCAATTTACTGAAAGATCTGAGTTATGTTGCAAACCATTAAAAAAATCTGGAAAGTACTATTTCATTGTCTATGTGCTAGAGTGGAGAAAGCAGAGAGTCAGATCAGGAGACATGAATTTTGTTTCTGCTTGACATTGGACAGATCGCAGAATGCCCCAGATCTCAATGTCCTTATCTATATGAAGAAATTAGGTAATCTCTAACATTTCCCCCACTTCTAAAATTCCCCAACACTCTGTATGAAAGAAGTACCCAAGTATAAAACAGAAAATATAATTGCTGGAATATTTCACCTACCATACAAGAATCAACTCTTCACCAGGAAGCTGGAATAGGAGAAAAAACCAACAAATTATCATTTCAAAGCTTTGGTGGGGGAAATATATGCACAAGCCTTCAAACATATGATGAAAAAGAATAATGTTTTGGCTGTTATCATTTTCCAGAAATACTTCAAATTTCTGAGTGCTAATGAGGACTGTCTACTTTTTTGACAGTGTGAAATGATCAGTGTCTTTCCTTGGAACGTGAAGCCTCTGTGTTCCAATGAATTCCCATTTGATGATGTCTGGAATGGTACCTCAATATCAACTATTGTTGCTATTAATAACATGGAGTGGACTAGGCTGTTATTTAGCTTCCAA